TTTTTTGTAATCTAGATAGCAAAGAAGAAGCGTCATGTTTATGAGAGAGTATTGACTGCGAAAGGTCTAGCAGAATCGGATTCTGAGGAAGATGCTGCCGACTGGGTGGAAAAGCTGAAGAAGCAAGAGGAAGAGAGGAAACGAGCTGAAGAAAGGGTACAAAGCCTTTGTTGTTATTTCAGTTCTCAGTCACTTTTTTCTAGGCTAAAATGCTTGATGAGATGGATGAGGAATTCGGGGTAAATACCATCATAGCGGACGAAAAAGCGAAACAAGTCAAAAAGGTCGGCAATATACACGGAAAGCTTTTACCTTGCTTTCTTTCAGAGTAACGGTTTGCTTTTTAGCGAAATGTCAAAAGTAGTGGAACGGGTGGTTTGGTTGTTGGGCATTCAAAAGAAGCGTTCGCAGGTTTTAAAGACCATATACTCGTCCTTGAGGATAAAGGTAATAGTTCTATTCCCGTAAGACTATATTTGATCCTGATTCTATTTCCTGAAGTCTTCAACACTCATCGCGTATATCATTTGTGCAGGAGTTCTCGATGAAGGAGAAGAAGTACTTGTTGATCCTAATCTCAAAGATAGCGAAAGATACGCTCGGAATGTCGAGCTCAAAAAGCGAAAGGAGCTTATGAAAGGCTTTGACGATGTGGACGAGTTTGGGAATGTAAGCATGTTTACTTGAAAAACAATATTTAAAAGCAATTGTTCAGCCCAAATCTTATGGTGTTTTACCGAAATATGATGAGGAGCTTGAAGGTATCAAAAAGGAGAAGTTTCGGCTTGATGAACGTGGAGGTTACGATTTGGAGAAGGATGAAAGGTGGTTTTCTCTTATCACTGATTGTTGTTATCTGGGATGGTTGCATATTCAGAGATAACCGAATGCGAAAGGAATTAGAAATAGCCGGCAAAACGCTGGTCAGTTTGGATATGGACAAGTTCCAAGTCGGTAGCGAATTTTATACAAAGGTAGATTCTTTTTTTTTCGTATAAATGTCGACAGTCTTCTTAAAAATGTATACCATGTCACT